TCCCAACGCAGTGTTTGCATTTCCCTTATTTTTCAAGGAGCAGTTGCAAGCAGCATGGCTGTATTGATAGCAGGAGTAACATTGGCCACCTTGGTTGTAGTCTTTGCTCTGCTGCTGCTGGTAGCATTGCGCATTGGTGTGTCCTCTGTAGGTTCATCCATCTTGCAGTGAGCCAGATTGCATTTGCCATGTGTGGTGTGCAGCGTGTCCAGTCAGCCAACTGCCAGTCAATTCATGGTTGCGCACCATCAGCTAGCTGGCAACCACTGGTCCCTGCCAGCCTGGGCAGTAGTCAGTCTGCTGAATCCCCAGCCCACCAAACCACAGTCTGGTCACCCAATTGTTGGGGCACCCAGAGGCCCCTTACAATCCCCGGTCAGTTGAATCTTGGCTCTAAAATCCTGATTTCCCAGTGCATAGGAGATCAAGTAATTATTATATTCTTTCCCAAATGGTGTCAAACAAATTTGTGAAATCCCGGGTGCTGATGGGCATAGCATTTTTTTGCACAAAATTTTGTCTGAAAGTTGAGAAAGCTGAAAAACTGTAAAGCAAAATATATTACTGAAATGTACGGTTCTGGGTGAAACATTTTTTTTACAAATATTTTGCTAAAACTTGAGAAATCAAAAAAGTTGGAGAATTGAGGATCAAATATAACATGAAAGTATTTCTTTGACATTCTTCCAAACATTGGGTCAAACAATTACTGAAATGTATGGTGCTCTGGGTACAGAATTTTTTATGGAAAATTTTGGCCAACAATTTCAAAATTGAAAAAGCTGAAAAAATGAAGAGCAAAAAATGAGAGTATTCATTTGTCATTCCATCCAACATTGGGTCGAGAAATCACTGAAATCTGGGGTGTTGGGTGCAACATTTTTTTAAATGAAATTTTGGCTAAAAATTTGAAAATGTTAAGAGCTGAAAAATTGAAGAGAAAAATAACTTGAAAGTATTTCTTTGACATTCTCTCTGCCATTGCGTGAAAACAATTTTGGGGCAATATTTTGGCTGAAAAATTTGAAAGCTGAAAAATTGAAGACCACATTCTACCTGTAAGTGAATTGAGCAAATTACATTTAATTCAGAGGCGTGTTTGTCACAAATGAAGAGGCATTTGAACAAGAACATATCACCTGTATATAAGATGACACACAGATAAATAAGTTGTGCATGAACAAGTTCTGCCAAAAAGTATTATTTGTGAATAACTGGTGGTTTTTACTGATGCCTGAAGAAATATAGAATTTTGAAAATTTTGAAACCATAGGCCATTGGAAATTTTATTTTTAATCTTGAACCTGGAAATTGATAATAAATTGTGTGGCAAATGTAAGAGAAGTTAGGCAAATAGGTTAACCTATATAGACTGAAATTTTACCCCAATTCATAGGTCACTCCTCTGTCCTCTCAAACTAGAATAGCCTTGGGCTTAGGCTTTGTTGACACTGCAAAAGGCACTATTGAATTCCAGGTCAGCTGCCATTTTTACTGTGGCCTCATCAGGTTTTAGCCAGGCAAAGCAAAGGTGCAAAAATGGCCAATATTCCGCACTAATTGACGTACCATTTTGAATGGAGTATTTCTGAAGACATCACTTTTTAAACAGCATCTGCTAAAAAAAATTGCAGGGTGATATTCAAGAGTAGGGTATTCATTGCCTCACTGCCTGCCACATTTTGTTGTTCATTGTTTGAATTATTCACCATCCAAACAACAGCATTGACAGCAGACCATGCTTTTCTTCTGACTCTGAAAATGTCCACCCTTGTATTTGAAGGAGGGTGTGAATGTGGTGGAGTGATGATGACCCTTATTTTGTCCTTCATGTGCTGTGAGTTAAAAGGGTGTTTTAGCACCTCCTTTCCAGTTGGTTCCTCACAGCACAATGTTATGCCATTCATGCAACTTTTGTCTTTACAGTAGACATGGTCATCACTTGTGACCTTGTCTTTCCACATTTGGGTTTTCACAATCTCCATGACCTGGGTGGTTAACCACCCAGGTCATTGTTTCTTGCTTTTGTGCAGCTGTTTATACTTAGAAACTCTTTCCCAGCTTTTGTTAATTGACTAATGAGGAAATGAGAAGGAATGAATAAGAACACAAATAATGATTGAAGCATGCCTTGCACTTATTTTTCATTCTGGGATAACCCAGTGATCATTGCAGGAATACAATTGATAAAGTCCTGGAATCTAAGAGGAAAAAGTTGAATCCAATTTGTGAAGGTTGAAGAAGTGTAGAACTTTAAGTTTAGCTTCTTCAATTTGAGAAGGCTAAGGTTTACCTCTAGCTGTACATCACATAATTTAAACATTTTTCAGCATAATGTACAAATTCAGCTACTCCATTTTGCTGGGGTACAGTGGCATTGGGCTTGTCTTGATGAATGCTTGTATATACATGCATGGATCTATGTTCGTCCCAGAATTTTTTTTTCAAGTACATTCCATTTTTTCTTAATTAATTTCTACCATGATATTTGTTTGAAGAACCGTGATAACAATGGTGGGGATGATTGTGGATGTTCTTCAAGGCTCTCCTTTGTTTGATGAATCTTCTACGGTTTTTGTGAATATAGAAAAAGGAAGTGCCTATAATTCCTAATGCATCATAAGATGGAAATATATTCCAAAAAATCATCATGGGAGGTGCTTTCATCATGGGATCATCATCATGGGAGATGGAAATATATTCCAAAAAATCATCATGGGAGGTGCTTTGCTTTAATTTTTAATTTGATGGTCAAAGTAACCTTCTATTGTACTACAGTCGAATTGCAGTAAAAGGTCGGGTATTGAAGAAATAACTTTACTGAGATATGAAGTGAATTCTAAAACTATTTGAGGTGAAGAGAAATTCAAAGGAACATTCAACAGAATTCCGAGGTGCTGGGGCAGTATTAATTCAGGCAAAAAGTATCTTGTTTGAATATGTAAAAGAAAATGTTGTCTATGTCTTGCTATTATTGTTTTCAAACTTTGAAAAATTAGAATGCTGAGAATATTAGGTGTGCTTAAGTGTAACATTTTTATACCTTGAAAAATGAACAATGTGAATTTTAAAAATTTTAAATTCTCATAAAAGTGATATTTTAATTTTTGTTGGAGTCACCTCCAAGCCAGAATAAGTCCAAAAATCCTGCATGGCCGGGGAAAAGGCATTTGGGGTGAAATTTTCCAAAACATTCACTATTCTTCAACACAAGTGAAGAAGACTGGTTCAAACCTACCAGTATGCCATGCAGCAGTGTAATAACGTCTGCAGTGTTATGAAGGATCCTATATATGGGTCTGGGGGAACTTTATGGACGTCCTGTAACATGTGTCTGTGGCCTAGGTGTTGAAACAAAAGTTATATGACCCCACGTCATCTAGGTCCAAGGTCAAGTGCACTGCAGCCTATCCAGTTGAGGCATAGTTCATGGTGCAACAGTTCCCAGTTTGAGTCCGGCAGCAGTCAGGAATTTTCTCAGCACAATCTATACAAGTAACTTGAAGTAATTGAATAGTACTGATTTAATTTTTCGATTAATGTATTTAATGCCTTGATTTACCCAAACTACAGGAATTGTCTGGAATAAACCAGAAGATTCCAGAATATTCAAGGATAATGTGGATTGTTTTCTCAAAATTACTAAACTTCAATTCACAGCCAATCAGGATTAACCAGTTAGACCTGGAAGAGATAGTGAAGGAGAAAATTGACCAGTTGATGCCATTTCCTGTCTTCAGACAGTATGGTGTTAGTTATCAATAGATGAAGTTGCAGTGTATTGAAAAAAATTATAAGTGTTCAACAATTGTGAATCTTTGTGATTGCATGGGGGGATACAAACTCAGGTGAAACAATAGACAAAAGACACTGCGGACGCTCTACTACTAGATGGCAGTAACAATAACAAAAGCCTATTGAAATTGGAAACATCACCTGCTGTATTCACCCTCACAGATTGATGATTAGTTTGATGAAGATTATGTGATATGGAAAAACACTGGGAATCAAATTACTGTACATCAAATTCTACAACTAACATCTTTTTGCACAATTTGTGTACTATGCTCAAAAAGGTTTTTATATTTTCCGTATCAGCAAATGCACAACTGCTTGTATTTGCAAAGATTTTTTAATTAAAATGTTTTTAATTATTCGAAATTTGATTTGGAACAATTGAAAAGCAAAAACATTTTTTGGCACAATTTCAAGAAGATTTTGCATTTAATTTGTAACTCATCTGGCTTTAGTGAATTTTGTCTTGCAGGGTTGTGTGCAATATGAAAAAAGACAGGAATTATGAAAAAGAAATGTAGAAAAGCGTTACATTTTAAATTACAAATTCAATTTAGGTGTATAATTCATGCTTTGGTGAATTTTTAAAGTTGGAAAAGCAGGAAGAAAATTGAATTTAATTTTGTCTTCTTCAAGTAGTTATAGTTAGTTTACTAGGTTAGTTTAAGTAAGTTAGTGTAGGTTTGGTTAGGTCAGGTTTGGTTTGGTTTGAAATAAAACAAGTATTGTTTTCCTACACCAATATCAACATGAAATTCCTCTTGAAAAACTTGTCCTATTCATGAAGTCACTCATTAATGATGGCATTTGTACATGGAGTCCTGAAAGTGAATTATATCCCCCTATCCGGCAGTGTATATGTGCGGTATAGTGCTGGAAGTGAGTTTGGGTAGGGTGAGAACTGCACCAAATGTCCTCCCTACTAATAAGAGGGATATCAACTTTGAGCACTCTCATTCCGAAGTGCATTAATAATAAGTGACTTTATGAATTACGCACTTTTTTTTAGCGTGCATTACATGTTGAAATTGGTGTAGAAAGACGAGGTTAGGTACTATACAGTTCCTAATTAAAATCTAAAAAAACCTTATCTAAAGTGTGTTATTTATTTGCAGTTTTTTCTGCAATATTCGCCATCTTTTATTGCCAAAGAAGTCTTCCCGAAATCTATACCCATCCCCCCCCCCCCCACTCCTCCCCCAAATGTTTGCAGTTGAAGTCATTAACTGATGGACAGTTCCTGTTGTGTCTCTGAGACAAAGCGGCGCTGACCGACGTGGCGCGAAAGAGAAAGCTCTGGATAGCTGTGATGATGGAAGGGGGCATTACAAGGGTTGCCCTTGCGTTTCCCTAGGAGAAATTATCGCAACCTTGAATTAGTTGAGGAAAGTTTACTTCGCCTGAGCTCATGAAATTATTTGGCATGGGATGGTTAGAATGTTAACGCATCTGTCGATTCATTCCTGGGTCCTGTGGATGATTCTGATGCATATTCTGTTCTAGAGGAATGTTCGATCCTTCAACGTCAATCTGTCCTGTTTTCAGCAATTTCAGATTGTGGTGAGTCAGTTGTCAAAGATTTTGATGGAACTGAACAACCCTTTGACGGCTGATTTTATTGCAGTGGAGAAATGTGCCCTCGTCGACTTTTATACTGTGGATAACTTCATGTTTCTTCAGGCCGTGGAACAATGAGAACTGGGGAAAAGTTGGATATAATTCCAGCAACTCTCAAATCCATCACTCCCGTTGATACAATGCCTGAGTATCGTGACAAATGGTTGACCAATGAGGTATTCAAGGTTAATTACGGGAAATACGGCGTTCAGTACTAATCATGCTCTTTTATCGCTTACTAGGAAATTGCGAGTATTCTGCTGGGTGTAGAGAAGCACCCAGAATGGCAGTCAGAGCATGTGATCATTCGGTAATAGTCAAATGATTTTCTGTACTTCGTGTTGGATGAATTCAGATTTGTTTGTCAATAGGCCAAGGAGCGGGTCAATAATATTATACAGTCGGAATAGTAAATATCGTCAGGATGGATACGTTTGGAAGAAGCGAAGAGATGGAAAAACTACCCGTGAGGATCACATGAAATTGAAAGTCAATAGTGTTGAGGTGAGTTCGAGGGGCTCCCATGTTATTTCAGTTTTGAGTTGCTCCAAGAAGTAATTGTCCGTGAAAACAAATTTCAGTGCATCTACGGCTGCTACGTGCATTCTGCCATCCTTTCATCGTTTCATCGCCGGTCCTACTGGCTTTTGGAGGTGAGTTCATGGGTACTTTCGATTGCGCAGGATGTTGATTTAATTTTCAAAATTACTCTCAAGAATCCGGACATCGTTTTGGTCCACTATTTGAATGTTCCCGAACGAAGTGCGAATGACGAAGGAAATGTTGGATTCAATTCGAGGGAATCGTGGAGCTGTTCCAAAGAAGAAGCTGCTGCACAAATCCAGTGCATGCGTATGTCCGCCGCATGGAAATTTTCTGATCAGTACGTTTAAAGGCAGTGTTTTCGCTTTTAGTTTCAAATGGACACGGTTTTGGATTCCGGTTCATCAGCGGTTCATCAGCTTCCACGCTTCCTAATCCGCAAGGGAGTATAAACGATGTTTCAACTTTGAAGAAAACCAAAGAAGGAATTCAGGAATCATCTAAAGTTTCCCTATCTGGCCAAGTATGGGTTTCCCAAGTTTATTCGTGATAAAAATTGTAAACTACAGCAATCTGTTGCATTTTCAGAAGGAGCGAAAACTTCTTCCTACCACTTCAAAACCATCTTCCACTAATAGTAGCCCGCACAACGGTGTTCTGCTTCCATCCTCAAGTTTTGTGATCTTGAAAAGTGTAGTACCTGTGATACCAGCGGCACCTGTGTCCTGTCCTGATCCAAAGTTACGAGAGATTGCTGAGAAGCATTTGGACCAGAACCTTTCTCCATCTCCCCCATCTTCTTCTTCAATCAGCTCTGTCTTTCCAGACATTGATACGGCGTTTCTTCCAAACTTATGGCCTCGTGAGTGAAGAGGAGTGTTATTTATGTGATTTAATCGTTGTCTTCATGGAAGAAAATACCGTTACTGGAGCCGCACATTTTGGGCATTTTTCTATTGAAAAAAAGGGCTTCTTTTTCTTCCGAACTGAACATCTAGTATTTTTAGGTTCAGATCAAGATAGTAGCTGCGAAGACTCCGTATACCAAGATCCAATGGAAGATTTCTCGGGTTTGGAAGAGATGCTCAATGGAGGAAAGTCCAATGATGAGTTAATCGGCGACCGCTCCTTTGTTCCGTTATGCGAGGATACGGTTCAGAATATCCCCGAAATTCCCAGGAGGCTTCTCAGCCAGACCGGGGAAAACTTGCCCAAAATTGATTACAGAGAGGGCACAGCAAAAATAACCGACTACTCTCCTGAAGTCGCGCCCTGCTCGGTTAGATTTTTGAGTTGACGGTTGCAAGATTTGACAAAATTTGTTAATTTTTATTTCAGGGTGGGACAAAAATACTCGTCACTGGTCCTTGGTATTCTGCGACTTGCCCGTATTCTGTTCATTTCGGGAGTGTATCTGTACCTGCCGCACTGGTTCAAAGTGGCGTACTGAGATGTTTCACTCCAAGTAAGATAACGTGACACTTATATTATTTCATATACTTGAGAGGAGCTCTACTTGAACTAAAATGCCTTAATCTTTAGAACATGCCTCTGGGAAGGTGGACGTACGAGTGGCTTGTGAGGGGTATATAATCTCAAATGTGGTACCGTTCACTTTTTCTGAAACTGGATGCACTTTTGATCACCATCAAGAACGTTTTGGCGAACCGCTAAGCTCTGCAGATTTGTCTCCCATGAAACACAGTCTGATCGGAAAACTGGAGAAGCTCGAAATGTTCTTAGAACCTAGAGACAAACAATGCGGCTCTATAACGGAAAAAGCCTTGATCAGTATGTGTCACGGTATGATGAACCGGTCATGGAAGCATAGTGGTGATGACATGGAAAATACGGGCTCATCTGTACTGCATCTCGCTGCCTGTCTTGGATATACACGGTGATCTTTTTTATCGAATTGTATTAAGGTCAATGATGAGGAGTCAACTTTTTTTGCTTTTCCAAATGATCAAATATGGTCTGTTCGTTTGTATAATCATGTAAAGATTGGCGTGCACACTTCTTCACTGGAGAGCGGAAAGACCAAACAAATTTTTGAATGCTGAAGTGGACGAAATGTCTTGCGACTTCTCAGGAAGTACTCCTCTGGTAAGGTTTATTTTATTCGTATGCATTTATTACTGATGAAAATCGCTGAATTTCTGTGCTGGATTGAAGAACACATGCAAGAGTTCCAAATGGTTTTACCTTTTTTTTCTGTAGATGCGGGCGTGTGAGTTTGGCCGAGAGGAGCTGGCAGTTACGCTTTACAAACTCAACCGAGCTGCCCTAGAAATTGTAAGACCTACGGATGGAGCCTCGCCAATCGAAGCTGCGTTGAAAGCCGGGCACAAAAAAATCGCAGAAACGATCAGGCAGCTGGAGAAACAACGTGAAGCTTCGCAGAGATCGGAGAATCCGGATGGAATCCATCCTGAATTTTTCCAACCATCTGAACCATGCAGTTTGCGGCGGAGACAGTGGAGCTTGGATTTGCCGTCGGAATCGGGACCCGTGATGATGTGCAAACGGCCCTCAGTTGATTCTGGGGTTTATTTTCGTGATTGGGGTTGGAGGCAGCCAGCTATTAAAGGAAATCGAGTGTGTGCTGCTAGAGAATTCAGGCAAGATTGTTAACTTCATCTATTTGCTGTTTTTCTGAATGTGTAATCATTGTTACACTGTAGTATCACTACTCTCTAAAAAAAAAAAAAAACCTTAGTTATTGGGCTGGAATTCTGAAAAAGAAAACTTAACCTCACACATAAGACAGCACATACGAATACGAAGAACGGCCCCCTCTGTTCTGACTCCCCCAAATGACACAATTTTATTTAATCTCTAAAAATCCCATTTTCCCCTTGACTAATTCCAGCAGATCAAGATGCAATCAAGTGAAGAATATAACGAACAAGCATCAATACTGCATAATTGAAATTTTTTGTTACAGAGTGCCCCACAAATATCATGAATGTGACACAGTTTCGAGATATTGTAACTCTTAATCCGAAGAAATTTTCAAGATGCTGTCATTATGTTACTCCTAATTCAGAATTATTCAACTGAAGAATTGAAAAGAACCAAAACCGGTTATTCGTTTGTGCTGTAGGCGTGCGCATTGATAGAACCCAAATGCTTGTATAGATGCAAAACTTTGCAATCCACTGCTTTTGTACCACAAATCCTCATAGAAAATTTTCTTTATAGGAGGGCCAGTATAGGAGTAAACACGCTATTCATCCATTTTTTTTTTGCGAGTATTAATTCGACTTGATTAATACTCGTGCGTTCGACTTGTGTATTAATCATTGAAAATGTTTCCTTGCAGACATGATCGAAGTTTTTCCTTACCTGCAACGGATTCATGGTGTTCGTGCCACTGCTCTTGTAACTGCAATTCCTCCAAGGAATATCAACATCGAGACAGTCCACCAGCATCTCCATTCAGTTCCTTTCTAGCGGACACGGATTTTGCAAGCGATGAGGAGCCTGATGCTAAATTATGTGCTATGGGTATGTAATAATTTTTGGTATCCGTAAGATGATTGAAGGAAGTACTGTTTCTGGTTTTTTTTTTTTTTTTTTTTGTACTGAAGATCCTCAAATTTGCTCTAATGATCCCATCCCAAGAAGTTTTTTACGCCAACATCGGGGAAGTTTCAGCAACTGCGATCTTTCATCAATCGGAAGCATAAGTGGTGAACATCAAGAGAAAGTTTATCAACTTGCTGAGCAAATTATAGCCGCGTTGCCAGAAAGAATAAAAGTGAGTCGTTCACTTCTGGGCCTTCTTTTCTATATTTTATGGACCGTTCTTACATGAAGTTATCTGGATTGTTACGACTGAACTTTTTCAAATTTTCGTCCTTTGAAAGTGTCGAGTGATTAATGGTATGCACATCATTTTTTTCTTCTGAACATAAGGTGCAGGAAGATCGAATGGATACCTCTAACTTCTCCAGTCTTCGCAAGTCTAGCAGCGTAATTTTGAATGAACTCCAATTCAGGTTTGTATCGTGGCCGACTTTTTTCTATGTTAGTCGGGAATGACATGTATTTTTTTTGTTCATTTTCAGATGTTGCGATAGAAGTATGGGTTCGTCTTGTTCATCGCCTCAATCAGTAGCCATGAACAGCCCTGGAGGAAGAAGTACCGGGTCCCCGTTGAGGCCCGGCTCATCCTGCTTGTCTACTGCATCTGGCTCTCCGACCACCGCAGATTTCTTGGAATTCTTCCGCGGATCATCGTGTGAAAGAGATTTCTCTCGGTTAACCCTTTCGGATCATGAACAGCGAGAGTTGTACGCTGCGGTTTGCGTGATTCAAAAGGCCTACCGTTCTTACAAAGGGCGGGTGAAAAAGCAAGAAGAACAGGAACGAGAAAGGACAGCCGCAATCGTGATTCAAAATTTCTATCGTCGCTATAAACAAGTGAGGTTATTTCTATTGAGCAGAATTATCACTTTCAAAAATCAAAATGCGTCGTTGTTGGAAATTTTAAATGAGAGGTTTTTCAGAGGGTCAAGTTTATGACTTTAAAAACGTGTGATTATATATTTTTTTCAGTATGCTCAGCATAAGCAAGCCACGCGCGCTGCCAGAGTCATTCAAAACAAATTTCGAAATTACTGTAAATGGAAACATTGCGACGAAGGTGTGAAAGAACAATTGAGAAATGGACATATTCAGAACAATGACGTTTTGAAAACGGCAAGTGACGACGACATCTTTTGCGGTGGCAGAAGCTTTCTTCGATGTGGAAGCAGAGAAGGAACGCCCTCCAGCCTGAAGCAAGTGCCAAATTTGAATGTTACGTTTTGTCTCGTTTATTTTTTAAATTCTCAATTTAGGAGAACTATATCTCAAAGGAGGCAGCACCAGGCGGCGAGAAAAATTCAGCAGTTCATGCGACAGTCGCGGAATAAGTGAGTAAACGCCAGGGTTTGCCATGTACTGAAAGGTCATTCTGTGTTGCTTCCTTAAATGCTGCTTGTTTAATGGAAGTACTTGGTTAATGATGCACGCAGACGGGGTAAGAACGTTTCGCTGAGATTATTTTGCGTCAATGAAACTGCTTTGACGAAGAGATGATTTTTTGCAGATTACAGAGAGAACGTGCTATGCAAGCTACAGACCCTGGAATTGCCCGATTGGAAACGCTCAATCAGCAGCCAATGGGCCAGTGTTGCCAAAAGGAGCAGCAGAACTTTCAGTATCAATCCCTGGGCCTTCCCAGACATCCTCAGTGACAGTCGGGCACATTCAGCTAGTGGTTCTTTGAACACACTCTTACAGCCGACTGCCCTGTAATCCTTTTTTTTTTTTTTACGAATATTATTATCCCCGATATTTATGAAATTTGCCTCAATCAGGCTGCATAGTGTCTTGTCATTACTACTTACCAGTTTGGAAGAGATTTTTACTTCAGAGCGGTTGGATCTGAAAAATTTTCTTGTACTACTGCTACTCAGTTTTCTGGTTGTGACGAGATTTTGCAAGCACTAATGAACGGGTTGTGTGTTTCCAACTGAGACACATACATTCGTAGACTTCAAGGGAATCCTACAGTTTCGTATTGTGATATTAATAGGCACAGATTTTTGTTTTACAACTCGCTTCAAAATCCGTTGGTGCGACGCTAAGATTTACTTGGTCATTTTGTCGAATACTCATCGTTCTCTCGAAAAGATTGAGCTTCACTCGTCGACACCGAGTTGATTTCGGGAATTTGTATGCCTGGAAAGGGATTTAAAAATTTGGGATTGCATTGCAAAATGGTGTAAAATGTTGCTTGCCTGTGATACATTTATCGGATGAACCGAACGTTGCAGTATCCCGCGAAAAATGTTTCTTATCAAAGATCCCAAAATATGCGGGATCCGTGAGATGGAATTTGCATGTTTTTTTTTTTTTTTTCATGTTCCACCATTGAACGAAACCTTGTGACCTGAAATTTAGGCTTTAGATTATCCCCATTGTTTCGGAACAAGAGAACCGCATACCACTTTAGTCCGGTGTGTTCTTGAAGTTTTTGGTTGTCGGGGCAGCTTTGATTGTTACATCCCTGTGGGTTGTACTTGGTCTTGGATTGTTCCTTCGTCATTTTTCAAAATATTGTGAGCTTTACATTTCTTGGGGTATGATCATGGATATGTGCATGCCTAACTCATCCCATCCATGACATGTTTATCTTGGGATGCTCCCTTTCATGTCCTATCTCGTGGAATACACTTGGGATCATCAAAGTTTTTTGTTTTTTAATGGAAACGTGTGACCTGTTCTAAAATACTAGCAAAAAAAAATCCTATTCGCAGGTAGAATGTGTGATACTTCGAAGTGGTGTGTTGAATATGGTGCGCTTTATTTGGAACAGTGCGCGTTCGTGAAAATGGGGACAGGATGATTCTGTGGATTGCGCCAATCAATGTGTGTGGAGTACGACTAACGGGTTGCACAGTTTGAATGGTTACAGGAATCTGTGATCGTCATCCCTTGGGATTGGTGTAACTTCATCACAAAATGTGAGTAAGAAGTAAAACTCTGCCGCTGTCTCCTCGAGAACTTTTTTGAAATGAATTTCAGATGATTCCTTTGAAGAAATGGAGAAGAAAATACCTGGCTAATTTTTGAAAGAAGTCATCACTTTCTTTTGCCCAGGCTGGCCCAGGAAAAATGCCCATGTGGGTTCAAGAATCAACATTGGCGCAATATGCCACTGCTCAGTTAGAAACTAGGAAGGGGGAAGAAGTCAAATGATACGATATGTAGAATACAGCAAGGCCAACAAAAATCAGTCTGATTACAACGGAACCCGCGATGGATGCCATCATTAAGTTCATTGTGGAAGATCCTGGATAGTTTGAGGATGCTCGGGAGGCTTTTTCTCAACCAGTGCCATCCTCTGCCTTCTCTAAAGTATAGGCGATGATTCCAGTGCAAGTACTCCCACTGCATGGCCTCTGTCAGTACTTGAAGTGGTTAGCCAGTTTGCTTACATTACAGATGCAAACACTACAATTTGTTTTCTGATGGATACACTGCCAGTGTAACAACACCTTCTGTGGTAATACAAGCATTTGTGAAGGGAGTTGGTAGCCTTCAGGGTACCTGGCTCACTGGTTTTGGGCATCTGTTGTTTCTGTCAATACTAGCAGAAGGTGCGTTGCTTCAACAGGAAAAGTGGAAAACCGTTCTTGTTCTGGTGGTTGACTTTTTCTAATGCATGGATTTTGTGGATAATTTGTGTAAAACTAGAATAGAGAGCTCGTGGATCCTAGTGTTCGTGCAGAGTTAGGATCTTGTATAGCGGATGATCAGATGTCAGTCACTAGTGGTTCTCATGGAGAGGCTATCAAAATGACGAACCCACCTTGTTCATTTGTTACTATCAAACCCATAACCCAAGCAGTATAATTAAGATGTGAGTTCCTTTGCCTGGGTTAGTGCTTGCTTTGATTGCAGTTACTTACAATTTTCTTCCAGTTATCACTCCAATTCAGATTCTGGGACCAGCCACTGGAAATGAAACAGTATTTTTGGAGGGTGATCCCCGAAAAATTCTGGAATTGTATCTTCTGTTACCACATTCAATATTTCCTTCCGATCTGAACTGCCTTTTTAGACCTTGTGCTGTGCAATATAGTAGAGTACACCAACACGGAAGCATTAAAGGTTCTCTTGGAAATTGGACATGAACCAGTTTTCCAGCTGGTTCTTGAGAATTGAGGTTGCTCCTCTCACCCTAGAGGTCAGGCTAACCAGCGTCTTGAACCTGCTTTTTGCTATCCAAGCTCTGGAGAAAGTATAAGAAGTTACATTATCCTACGGTTAGTATAAAGAACGCTTAACTGTTACATTTTGCTAACTATTCCTTTTACGATGCAGCACTACAAAGTGACATACCGTATACCTGTGAATATCCTTAGATGTCGCTATGCATCCTCTGTTTTCGTGAGGATCTGTTGGGAATGGTTTTGAGTAAATTGTGGTTGGGCAGCCCGCGGCTGGCTAGGGTTTGGCATTGAACGATTTGCCTTTACCGTACAGTATGTGGATGTTGAAAATCTGCATTTGTCTCACTTTTTAGGAAGAAACGAAAGTTAATGGATGATTCTCATATCTTTGACGTGTCGCCAAGTAATTAGTGATCAGTGATGCGTCGATTGGCAGTTAGTGCGTGACTTCCGTTGGGGCTGAGAGAGATCCTCGGTGTTGAGTGCCGAAGCAGCGGCTGTAGTAAGGCCAACCCTGCGAAATAAGCTCGTCACAATGATCTACATATTTCACGTTGATCGAGGAGTGATGTTGAAATTCGAAGTCAGCATTGCGCTCGGATCGTGAGTTTCATGTTCGCGACCGAAAGTTCGGCTCCGGTTTGATTCAGTGTATTTTTTTATAGTGTCGAAAATTTGAAGAAGGTCATCAGCAGCACTATTAGAATACCGCCAGAGTTTCAGATTCTGATGTTGAGCGGAGGAACTGTTTTGATGGACAGTGACAAGGTCTGTTCTCACAACGGTGGTACCGATACTTGTCCATTCTTCTTGTTCAGCAAACCGAAGCGTGAACAGAATTGTTGGATTGATTGGAGAGTTGATTCGCCGCTCTCTTCGAGCTTGGAAATTTCTGAAGGTAAGTACTGACCTTGCGATTGTTGAATGGATTGGGGAACTCGGTAAATTAGGCTTCTCATGCAGAAAGAATTTTGGAATCCATTAAGCAAAGCAGAAACCTTGCCCCAACATTTGATGCAATCCGAACTCGAACCACGCTCGCACAAAAACTTTACGAAAGCGCAGTGAAAAGAACCAAGCTCTGCTGTGACCTCGTGCATGCTCAGCATTTACAGCAACAAGGTTTGTGCTGATCCTTGTTCCTTGGGAAAAGACATTCTCTTAATTTTTTCTCTGATGTTTAGGTTGGGCTACTGCAGTAGCTAATCTCGAGGATGTCGTCTCACGTTTTGAAGTGTCGTGGAAAACTTTGAAAGAACGATACGACGAATACTTGAACAAGCGAGAATTCTACATCAAATTGGTCGAGATGTTAGTTGGTAAAAATCTTGTTCAAAGTTTGACATTCAATTGATCTTGCCTTTTAATGTATCCAGGAATCTTCCCGGCGATCTTGAGAATTTGAGCAAGATTCCAATTTTGAGCTGTCTTCTGGAGTATGATGAGTGTGGCAATCCGGATCAGCCGAAATCTCTTTTTGAATGGATTGGATCGCAGAGATTAGAAGACTTCGCCACTCAGATAGTGGCTAGTTTGAAAGCGGTACTGAATCTTATTGATTTTCAACGCATTCCTGGAGAAAATCTGTTTTGCTCCGTTTCAGATGGATGAAAACAAACTTTCAGAAATGGAAAAAGAAGTTGATACAACTGTGACCCAGGCAAGTCAGAAGAAGTTTTTGGAGATCCAGGGATTGAGCAAGCGACTTTCATCACTGGACAGCATTCTAGAGGAGGCTAAGCAATTGGAGCGACTTCAGAAGGACATTGCTCAGGTAATGGGAAAAATTCCCGCTCGTGTGGCTTTGTATGGTGTGAAGATTTCCTCTTTCTTCACAGTCTCTGCACCAGAATCAAACCCGGATCAATATGTTGAATGACCGGGACGTGTTACCGGACCTTTGTGAGAGCCACAAGAATCACCTTAATGACATGATACGGTGCAACGAACAGCTGAAATCTTACTTACAACGCATCAGTAAAGCGAAGGATGAACTTTCCGCATCCATATGTGGTCGACTACGCTGGGTTGTTCTTGTCCACCAACGCATTTTCGACGCCGACAATCGAGTAAAGATGTATATGGAAAGTCTAAAGCGGTTATCCACTGGATTGAGCTTTGCCGAAATGATACATCTCTGTCCAGAGCTGTACCTGAACAGCGTGATGGAAGTTGCCCGTCGACGTGCATTTTCAGATGCGTACGCTGCCTGGAGTTCTGAAGTTGCCACTCGAGCGCAAGAGTTGTATGAAGAAGAAGTTACTTTTCGTGAAGGTCTCAACAATCAGTTGCGATCGCATTTTCTGCTGCAATTGTTCCCAGGAATGAATGAACTCCCGCCAGATTTTGCCACCAAAGCACCCGACCTCTTTGATCAGTCGCTCCCAAACGTCACGTTGGCTGAGCTGGATTTTCTGAGAGATGCTTTAGGTTCTGAGAATGACTGGCGTTTGCCTGAAAACATCTCCGTTACCTTACCGCGCCTCGAGTTGCAAGTTGTGAAACTCTTCCCACAAGAAGCGCCGATTGACGCGAATCTGGATTCTGGCAATGTGTTTCAAAACGCAGTAATGCCGTCGGTTAATCCGCAGGAGGATAAATCTAGTGACTTTTTTGAGAGGAAGCCTTCAGTGGAAATGTACGCATCTGCATTCGAGGGCTCTACTGATGGTACACGAGATGACGCAGAATCCTTGGACTCCAGAACTGTTGGAGGAGATGTTGATGACGAAGTTTTCCGAACAGCGAGCGAAGGCGAAGAAACTGGAGAGTCGGCTTTCAGTGAAAGCATGACAACGTTGAAAGCTAGTGAATCTGGTTGTTCACCTGCAGCTTGTGCATCGGAAGCTACCTCTACAGACGCCCCAGATATCGCCGAGGGTCGCGTTTCCGAAAGCAAAGAAATGCTAGGCTTGCGCACAACTCAACTTGCAAACTTGAGAAGTGCTTTGAGAACTGTTTCACAAGAGATGCAGTTGTTGAAGGATTGCCGTGACAGCCTTGCGCAGGAGTTTGAAACTTATTGCAACGACTTGACCGTTTATTGGGGGGAGCTGAATCAAAATCTTGAGAAAGCTCATTCTGTGATGAAGACCAATGATAAAGAAAGGGAAGCAACGGTTCAGCAGCATGTTGAAGAAGCAGCGCAAGCGTTGAATGCAAAACATGCATTGGAATTGTTCAGTCTTCGACAAGAATTGCGAATCATTCAGGAAAGTGCGCAGCATAACAATGGATCATTACAGATGCAATGCAAAGAGTTGAAAATGCTGCTCGAGCAGCAGCAACAGGACTGGGATCAAGAAAAACGTCGTCTTGTTGATGAGAAGGTTACGGAGTTGGAAGCACTGAAACAGACCCTGACCCTGGAGATGGAAGTTGAGCTTGAAAACGTTAGAGAGTCCATTGGAAGACGGCAGAACATTGAAATTGAAGGCATGGAACAGGTGTGCATTATGCATGCTTATTGAAGAGCGGTCTCGTCATGATGTAGAAATTTATTGTTTTCTCAGGATTTGCTGAACTCTAGAACAGAGATAAATCGGACAGTGGAGGAGAGAAAAGCTTTGGAAGATCTCGTCGACCGGCTTCGGGACGAGTTGGAGGTCAGATGCAAGGAAATCAATGACCTGCGTTCCAGACTTCAGCACGAGAAGGAAGACCGGCAGCAGGAAACACTGAAGCACAAAATTGAAATAGAGGGTGAATTTGGTTTCTTTGTTGATTTTCTATTAAATTTTTGTTGGGATCATGGGTAAAATATCCGTCATTTATGGGTAATTGAGCTCTGGATTAAAAAAAAAAAAACTACTGGATATTTTGGAAAAATCTGTAAAATACTGTAAATCACATTTTGGAGCGCAAAGTTGCTTGAGGAGCGGTCCCGGAAAAGATACTGCGCTCTTCCTTGAACAATTTTTTTCCTTGCATCACGAATCTTTAAGAATCATATAGATTTTTTAAATGTTGGTGTCGAAATGCGTTAGCGTCGGAATTTTGTGACGCAGGATAGCTACTAATATAGCATTCGTCAGGTATTATTCTTCTCTTCGTTGATTTTCTTGAAAGTTTGTTGCGTAAGATTTAAGATTGTTTACGTGATCGCTTCTCTTGGAACCGAAACAGATCTCTTCGTTAATCTGATCAGATTTTCCGATTGCATTGCGTGCAGGGTTGAGATCCCGTTACAAAATGATGACTTCATCAAGCATATCACATTCCCCACCATCATCTCTGTACCTGACCGAATCCGTCGTCTCACAGTCACCGGTTCATGTCACACGTTCCCGTGTTCTGAAGGATGTTGAAGTCATGACAGATGCAGTTCTTTCTGAAAGCAGGTACTGTTTTGCAAAACAATAACCTTACCTGAATCTTATCTATGATTGTGTTGTACACTGTATGAGCGCTCCAAAGAACCATATTCTTTCATTTCCTGATTCCGTTAACTAGGTGCGTTATTTGCCTTTTTTAGTGGGAGGATGGTTCGTTCTGCTTTTGAATCCGACGAATGCGCTCAAGAGCAGAGCATCGAACGTCAAAAACGCTTTGGCGGACTATCGCAGGATTTCACGGGATTTGACCTTGGTGCATCGGCTATGTCTATTGCGACGTATAAGTGAGTTAACTTCAATGTATGAGGCTTGAAGCTTATAGGAGTACCGCTGAGGTTAAAACGGCGAAGATTGTGATTGCGAATGGATTTCATTCAAGTCCCAATACTGGTTATGAAAGTTCCATGCATTTAGACCCATGCGTGTTAATTTTTTGTCCGCCTCTCCCAGTTCTCTAAATTTTCAACTCGTTATTGTTTCATTTTCAGTCCGATTGATGAAGTTCCAGTGAGTGATGCGGAGCTGGTCAGGTTGAATTGCGCTCTGAAACGAGAAAACTCCTCTCTGCGGGAGCAACTTGTAAGTACAGTATAGTAAAAGGATCAAGTTCATTATGACAAACGAGAATAAAATGACTGAAATTTTCTGTTGCAGTTGTCGATGCCAAAGAAATCCTCATCACTTCAAGGAAAGCTGACAACCAACAGGTTAGCCACAATGATTATTTTGTAATCGTGGACAAACTGACGCAGAGTACGTTTAGCCGTCAAGTGTTCAATTGTTGCATTGCAGCGTGATCTGGTGCAGAGAAAAAGTGAACGCGTCAATTCAAGGCTCGCGCATGAGTTTTTTACTTCATTTTGTCCTATATAGTTGCAATATTGGGGATGTGGTACTCGTACGATGGGATCCGTCCAATCTCAGATACACGATTCATCAGGATGGACCTTCGAACTATTTCCTACACCTAGATTCCGTTCGAGATCTCGGACTTCCGTGTGGTAAGATGGCGCGGAACCGATAAAATTGCATGCGGCTGGTCTGTGTCAGTAGGGTGTAGGGTTGGTATCGGTTGCCCAAGTGTCCCCGTTTTCCAGCTCTTTTTTTTCCATTACTTGAGCGATGGATGCGGTATTATTTCTGTCTTTGGATCAGTTTCCGTAGCGGTGCATGCTCTTGCTTGATTTTTTTTAAATTGTCCTGGCTGTCGTAATTGTTACTAAGATGAGGAATTTTTTTCAGGTGAGGATGAAGCGAACTGCTGTCGTTCTTTGTTTATGGTGGCTGAAGTGGTCAATCGTGAGACATGTTTGGCAAAAAAGGTGAGTTTCTTCTGTATTGTAAGATAATCTGGATCCTCTTTTTTGGCCCAACGGTAAATAAAGATACAGTATGTGATCGTTGATAGCATTTTTTTCTGAAATCTTCTAGTATTGGTTATCTACTGAAGTTTTTTGGTCGGTCCGCGCGAAATTTTCTTAGGCACAAAAAATGTATCCAAGGTAGTAATGAAGTATGTTCTCTTTATCTAAAATTTTGAAAAGAGAATGTCAGTTGAAATTATATGATGAAAAATAAAATTTGGCTTTTCTCCTATTGACACTTCCAACAAGTGTACTGAAACTTATTACAGGTATTTCCAGGATTCATTCTGAGAAACCTTGCTTGAAGCCTGGCTTTCTAATTTTTTGAAGACATTGCACTACAGTTGCTTCATGGGTTCTTGAATTATATTTTGCTTGAAAATTTAGGATTTCAGACCTTATGGCAGGTATTAAAAGATTTCTGAAGGTCCGTAAAAAATATTTATGGAAATTTGCTGGTCCGTGGGCTCAAAAAGGTTGGGAGCACTAGGTTAGCACATTATTCAACCTTTAAATCCTTGATCATTGCGTTTAATTCACCGTGTGTTATTCATCAAATTCAAAGGCGGGAAATCGCTATAACCTACCACAAGGATACAAGTTCACACGAGTTCAAGTGAAAGCGTGGCCGAAGTCAATCCCTCAATTTGGGAAGCTGCATTCGTGAAGACATGTGTGTAACCTTCTTTTTTTTTTGACAAACCGTTTAGAATGCATCTCAAGTCTTTCAGTTGAAGCGTGAATGTAGGGAATTTTTGATAATGAAATCAGTGCTGTGGTAAAATTGTGGGATTTTGGAAAACCCCGGCATCCAAGGAGTCATGGGATTTTTTTTTATCGTACTGCTCGCTACCTGGCTAAGCATAATTTTTATTATGACGCATCAGGTTACTCCAAGATGACCATCATTTTTTTATTTCTTTTTTTTTTATGCGTGCGTCGACATTCTTGGTCCGAAAATTATTCTTTCATCTTGTGTCATAATGGAACTGTGATGGAAATTGGCTGGGATGAATCGGTAGTTTTCTCAACGCTCAACTGAGAAGACATGAAGCTTGACTGGCTCACGCCTGTGTTTTTTTTTTTTTTTTTCTTTTAACTCTCGGTTGGGCTCTTGTTCAGACGCGAACACAGCTCATCGTCATTCAGATTTGGAATTCATAATTTTCCAAAGGATCAGAATCACGTTTTTGAGGCACTCGTACATTACATCTAAAATCTGGGAAATAGTACTAAAGGATTTTTCCTTTCAAATCGGGCAGTGTGGAGTGGCGTGTGTGTACGATGTAATGTTTAGGACTCCTGTGACTTCGCAATCAAGGATACAAAGGAAGGAAGCGGTGATTGACGGAGTGTCTTGACCCTTGAGCATTCGTAATATTTCCACTAGTGTGATCTTTACTTTTCCACTGCAGTTTTGCGCGACAGCGTGATGCTCGCCTTTTTTTTTATTGTTCGGGATGACTGCTTTTGTGATGAATTTACCAGAAAGAATGGCCTTTCCTTTTGTACCTTGATTTTTAAATTTTTTTCGACGATTGAATAGAACTGGAGGCATTTCGTTATCGGCGACCTGGCGGCTTTGACGAGACAATTCGCCGATTCCGCGTTCCAATTTGTACTTATCGCGTTCTTGCTCGAAAAATCTATTGTGATGACTTCTGTCCTGACCAATGTTATGAATTCGCTATCGTTCCTCACGTAATGCGGGTATTGTAGGCTCGGGATCGGCTTACCTCGATGGGGAGGCCTGCTGTTTCAAGTTCGGCCAGTGACAGACTGCGGCTTTTCTCTCTTTCTGTGCCAATATTTGTGCGTCGAGTCTCCGGCGGCAATTTGCGTGTCGTCATTTTCCACTGGTAGATATGCGTTATTATTTTTTTGTTGAACGGAAAGCTTGCGTCGAAATTAACTGTTTCTTGCGCAGATGGCTGAGGGTTTCTTTCGGCGACATGACTTAATACCCTCGGGTAATTATTACTTCATTGCTCTCGGAATGATATGAGTTGGTTTTCTGCGGGGTTCTACGCCCATACAGTGTTGAGCTGGGAAAGGATCGTTCCGGTATTTTAAGTCGGAAAATGTTCCATCCAAGTGCGATTCCACCGTGACATCATCCGACACACGTGATTTGATTGATGAGAGATGAAAATGCTCCGATGATTTTTTTTAGTTAAAAATTAAGTTGGGGCTTGCCGTGTAAGTCTGATGATAGTATGCGGCGGATGATTCGTAAGTCAATTATTTCATCGATAACGGTGATCATAACGTGGTCCAGTTTCGGAGTCAATCGAAAGAACGGGTGCAGCGAATTTTCGGCGCTACTCTCTCATACATAGCAATTGCTCCACATCTTCTAGAAAATTGCGGAACGCGGATTTGTGCTATGATTCTTTTTTATGACTGCTGGGTGTTGAAATGAAGTGATAAACGGAAGCGTGGCGATTGTTCGGAAGTTATTGCCCCGCTGTGCCGTGATGAGTCTTTCTGTGCTGTGCTGTATATATGGAGGTACCATAATTGACAAAATGGATCACCTCTCAGATTGGATCAGGGTTTTTACTTTTAACACAGCTTATGTTGTTTTTTGGATCGTTATTCGGCGCGTCGTGATGTTCTCGTGGACTGGATGTCATGCGAGCACAGACTCGTATGAGTGAGTCATAATGATGCGTCGCCTAAATTGTCGCATGAGGGATATGCATACGACCATCTGAAAATTTTTGATGGTTAGAAGGACTCGTGAGATTTGTCTTGCATCAGAGGAAAACAAGTGTTTCCAACATTTTCCTCTTTAGGATCCTTCATTGGAATAAAGACCTGAACTTACCTGAGGCCAAATTGATGCTATGTAATGCCCTGATTATGGGTGTACTTACTCTACAACAAAATTCTCTCAATGCTGTGGACTTCCTGAAACTAAATTTAGGGAACTAGAAGTGTTATCAAAATGTTATTTGGACAATATCGTTGTAGTAAGAATCCATCGGTCAGCCAGTGGGGCAAGTGGAGAGGGAGTGATGGTCAGTACGAGTGATTTCCCAGGTATTCTAGCAGCTTTCCTTTTTCATTCAAAAAATGAAATGTAGAAAGGGACACAAAATTAGTTTATGATAGTTCACAAAATTAGATGTTGGTGGTGCTGGGGATGATCATTTGAAAAGGTTTTGGTTCAAAAAGAGGAAGCATTTGTGAAAGAAAATTTGAAAATAGAAAACAATTGTTACAATGAAGTTTGAATGACAAATATCTGCATTGAATCCTTATAAACCCTGTTTTCAACTTGGCATGCAATTTTTTTGTCTACATATATCAATTTACCCAAAAGTAAACTTACTATAATGCTTAACCTTTGGATGGTGGAGGGTTTTTCTCAGTGTGCAGCAGAGTCAGGATTTTTCCAGGGGTTGGCGCATTTCAGTTTGACCCAAGGCACCCAGATTGAGGAGGTGTGAGTCAGGAAAAATCCAGGAGGCAAATTTTCTTTTGTTTCCAAGATTTTTCCATGCAAATCCTCTGTCAGGAATGCAGGAAAAACGCCACCCAGCCAGGGATTTTTGAAAATTTTCATTGAAATTTTTCTGCAGGATTAGAAAAAAATCTTGGGACTTATTCTGGACTTGGCCCTTGGTAAAAAAGTAGGTTTTTTCAAATTCCAGTGACCAGTGGCACAAAAGTTTGCAAAAATATCCCTGCTGCACAAGGGTTTTTCTGCATTCTTCAAAGTACAGTGGTACCTCGCAGAATGAACACTTCACAAAACGAACATTCCGCAGAACAAACGTTTTTTTTTGCCGAAAATCCATTTTTTAAACCCTCGCAGTACAAACAAAGTTCGTACTACGAACAAGGGTGAATTCACACCCTTCTTTGTAGTACAAACTTTTTACTACAAACAACTTTTTTTTTGTTTGTACAGTAGTACAAAAAAATTTGTTTTCTGAAACAATTGTCTCAGAACACAGAAACTTTTCAGACTACAGACATTTCTTTGTTTTGAGACAATTGTCTCAGAACACAGACAATTGTCTCAGTAACCTAATTTAAAAAAAAAAAAAATTCTGTGTTCTGAGAATTTTTTCTGAGAACCCAGAAATTTTTCTATTTGACAATTTTCATAAAAACTTTTGTGTTCTAAAAAATTGTCTCAGATAATTGTCTCAGAAATTTTTTAGAAATTTTTCTATTTGACAATTTTCATAAAAACTTTTGTGTTCTAAAAAATTGTCTCAGATAATTGTCTCAGAAATTTTTTAGAACACAAAAATTTTTATGAAATTTGTCAAATAAAAAATTTTCTGGGTTCTCAGAAAAAATTCTAAGAACCCAGAAATTTGTTAACGAATTTCATGACAAATTTTTTAGAACATAGAAATTTTCATGAAATTTTTCACACACAAAAATTTCTGTGTTATGAGAAATTTTTCTGAGAACACACGACATTTTTTGTGACAAATTTCAAAAAACAAAAAAATTTCATGAACATTTCTGTGAAATCACAGAAATTTTCATGAACTTTGTCACACAAAAAATTTCATGAACATTTCTGTATTCACAGAAATTTCTGTGTTCTGAAAAATGTCTGTGTTGAGACAATTGTCTCAGAGCACAGCAATTATTCAGAACACAGAAATCTATGTGTTCTGAACACAGAAATTTTCATGAAATTTTTCACAAAAAAAAATTTCTGTAATCTGAGAAATTTTTCTGAGAACACAGAAATTTTTTGTGACAAATTTCATGAAAATTTGTGTTTACAGAACTTTATGTGTTCTGAAAAATGTCTGTGTTGAGACAATTGTCTCAGAACACAGCAATTACATTCAGACCACAGAAATCTATGTGTTCTGAACACAGAAATTTTCATGAAATTTTTTGCACAAAAAAATTCTGTGTTCTGAGAAATTTTTCTGAGAACACAGAATTTTTTTGTGACAAATTTCATGAAAATTTGTGTGTTCACAGAAATTTATGAGTTCTGAAAAATGTCTGTGTTGAGACAATTGTCTTAGAACACAGCAATTTTCCAGAACACCAAAATTTCTGTTTTCTGAGACAATTTTCATAAAATTTGTCACTTGAAAAAATTTGTGTTCTAAGAAAAATTTCTCAGAACACAGAAATTTTTGTGTGTGCCAATTTTCTTGACAATTTCTGTGTTTAGAACACAGAACACTGACAAATTTTTGTGTTCTGAGACAATTGTCTCAGAACACAGACTTTTTTTCATGTGACAACAGTCAAATGACTGTCATCACAGGTGACAAATTTTTTAATGCCACGAAAATTCACCTGGCATTTGTCATTTGTGAGGACAGTCATTTGACTTTCATCTCATGTGACAATGGCCAAAGTAAAGCAGTCCAAACTGTTTTTTTTTTCTTGAAAAAATTTTTTTCCCTGGCTCCGTGGAACAAATCAAACAATTTCCCATACAAGTTTATGGGAAATTGTGTTTTGCATAAAGAAGGTTTCACACTATGAATGTAGCCCTGGAACGGATTACGTTCATAGTGTGAGGTACCACTGTATACATGTTCTGAAGTAAAGAATTTAAAGCCACCATTATTCTGTCTTTATTTTTAAAAATCCTTTCCAATGTGTTCCAATTTTACCATTAAATACTGATGATAAAGATAGAAGGAAGATCTGTTGCAGATGAAAGTAAAGTAAATTGTTTTTCTTGATCTAATCTCTTTTTTGGTATGCCTCTCCCATAAACCACCACCCCTGATAAACTGCCACCCTTGTTTAACTTCAAAAATCCTGTTGCACAGACATGGGTGGTTTAATAAGGTTTGCCTGTACACTTGCTACACCACTTCCTGCATATAAGGGGTGTTTTCCCCATTCTTGAAGTCACTCATGCAGAGTGACTTCCATCTCCATCATGACACGACGTTATGGTACAACTTCCACTCAACGCAGCTCCATTCAACGCTACCTCTTCCACGCCACCCCTAGGAGTGCCAGCCTCTCATTGAGTGACTTCAACTGCAATGCTTTGGAGGTGTAAAATGTAAACAGAGACTGCAAGGGACAAATAACATACTGCACATATAAAAACACCTTTTTTAAATGAATAAAATATATGGTACTTTCCTGTTATCTCTGTACCTCATTCCTAGACCACACTATACCATCCAGACAAATCTTTAGGACAAATTCATAAACACAACAGATGTGAATTTTATTTTTCTGCATTCTGCTGAGATTATACAGTTTGTCCCGCAGCTCTGAATCTGACAAATTGTAATGTGGTCCCTGGCCCTTGTCACTCTCTGGATCAAAATACACCTTTCCCTCCCATTCGCCGCCTTTCTTGCGCTTCGATTCGCTCTGGCCCATAGTTGAAAGCTGAAGTAATTACCTATCAAATAAAAAATAATTGAATGCGAGATTCATCCATTCATACGTCGAGAACGTGATTGAGACAAATAGAAGCCGGAGAAAATCCCCTGGAAAAAAATTAAAAGGGAAGATATCTCCCTCTCTTTTTAAAAAAAAATGCACAGAATGACTGATTCTTTCACTCGATCAAATATTTTCTCTCGTCGAAAAACTTAAATTTTTTTCAAGGTACATTACGACTCATCACGCACACTGCATAATGAATTTTCAAACTGTACCACGCCAGTATACTGTAGGCTTGCCTTGGCGTTTTCAACTCGTGATTGGTTGTATGTTTATAATACATCGATCACTGCTAAATCGAACCTTGGAAGTTTCAATCAACTCGCGGAAAAAAATTCTAGATTTGTTACGACGAACATTCAATTGAAAACTTGGGTAATGTGCGCTCTTCACATCGGGATTCTTTTCCTAGGTTACCTCGCGGGTATGAATACACAAGATTTATCAACACAGTTCTTCTCGCAAACTAGAAAATTACGAAGGCACAACGTAACTCAAATTGCTCGTGAATCACACACGGAAATCAAGTGCTCAATTTAAAAAGAAATCCAACATTGACGTGGAAATAAATGCATCGTAACAAACCTTCCAAAGCTATTGCGCAGTCATCCGGAAGTCAAAAGGCAATGTTATCACATATAGGAGCACCACGTCCACCGGTACGGGAGATTCTCGGACGGAAAAAAAAAAAAGCTCTGCAACATCAACGAATTTCGAACTAAATATCGAGAATTTGTTCTCATCATCGTTTCACATGGAAATCACGTCGAATACAGAACTGCAATCCTCATGAGTGCGGCCCATACCTCGAATGTAAGCCGGAATAGTGTTTTTGAGCACCGTTTTGGGGGGAAAATATATTTGCTTCAGTCGATGATGGGCGTTATCGTTAAAAAAAATCAAAAATATTGCATTAAGAATTTCAAGAAGAAAAAATCTCAACGCTCCGCTTGAATTCGTCCCCCGTCACAAAATGGTGAGATGCTTCTGGGTAGGGATCCGGAAAAAACCCTTTCCTCTGCATCTCCTTTTGCCGCACACACTTCCAAGTCACGCACAAGACCACGTATCCCACGCAGACAGGAACTGAAACAAGGACACACGAACATACCAACGCCTAAGAAATGCAAGCGGCGTGAGGATCGACGGACAGGTGCATTGATGATTACACATGGCGAAAATAAACCAGGGTTCACAGCACGTTGAACCCAGAACCGAGCGTGCCTTTCTGGGAGGCAACCAACACGGAAACCTGAATCTTAAGTTTCTTTCCGAGAAACTTGACGAAAGGGGCATGGAGGAGGTTATCAATAACAAAATGTTTATTGCTAGCTGAAGCAGGTTTCAACCCAATTTTCAGCATTTCTTCGTTCGCACAAAAAAATTCTTCCTTTAAAAACCGAAGAGCTCTTACAATCATTTAAGCAATAAAATGATTCGGAAAATCCGTTTGTTCTTCAGCCAAAAAATGTCCTCAAAAGATTTGTATCAGTACAAAACATCCATGAATTAATGAAAATTCATGAATTTCGAAGGGATAATTTTTTCCCCCAAATTATTATCGATTGATACCTTTCCACCGAGTGCTTTTCTTTTGACACGGATTTTAGGCCAAATTTTTGTATATCTTATACAGTATTTATATTTATGGATATTTTTCATGTATACGTGTATACCACGGAAAATCTTTCTACTTCTCGTTTCTTTTTCGTCGATGAAGAATTGAGAAGGAAACAAATGAACGCAACAAAGGGAGCATTTTTACTCACTCCCGGACGAAAACTGGAATTTGCAGAAAACACAATCAAGATAACAGGAAAGTACTGTATTGAATATTATCTTCCTACTCCTACACAATTCTTCAACATGTAATTCGTATCTGCAAGCATGCACAGTTCATGAAGTCACTCATTTTTGGTGTTGAGGGATGGAGTGGTAGGGAACAGCCCTCTCGAGGGGCAGCATGGAAATGAGTTGCGTGGAGTTTGAAAGTGTACCATAACGTCCGGTCACCCATCTCCATGGGTGCAGGGCTTGAGGTGATGGGGGGCACCATGATGGTGGTTATGGTACAACTCCCACTCAACGCCACTCCATTCAGGGCTACCTCTTTCATGCCACCCCTATAGGAGCACCAGTCTCACCCACAGCCATAAGCGGCTTTTATTGAGTGACTTCAACTGCATTGCTTTGATGGTGTAAAATTGAGAGAGACTCACATCAGGAACAAATGATGAAACAACAGTGCACATATGAAAACACATTCTTTAAATAAATAAAATACATTATCTAAGGAAACACAAATAACAGTGTGAATGTAAAAAACACACTTTTAAAATAAATAAATAAATAAAAATTGTGAATATCCAAATGAGGTTGCGCAAATTATGTGAATAAAAATTTCATATACATTTCTCAAGTCTTGATATCCAATAGCATTTATTGCTACAAATAACATGACACAGAGACTAAGCAAAAATTTTGAATATTGCCTCAGCCAGTGTCATGAACATAACATGAGTATAGTGCTTGTGAGGTGGCGCTCATAGCATATAGTGCTCATGCAGCAGTGACAGTCGTACAGTATAATATATTTGTTCATTTTTTTCATAGGTTATTTTTGCCAATTTATTCCCTTCAATAAGAGAGGTATTATTTTATAACTTGTGTATTGATTGACAGATTTGTGATGATGAGATCGGTGGACGGACTTCTCGGTAGTTTTGTTTAACAAGGATTTGTGTGCCAAAAGTCTCTTCATCTTTCTGGGGACACACACTTTCAGCTTGTGATGCGCGTTCTGGGTGGTGCGCATCATGGCTTTAGTGACGTTGGCGCAATCAAGCTGTAGCCAGACGAACCCCCAGTAAGGTTTGATATGAAAGTCCTTGACCAGCATCACAATGTAGACTATATTTTTCTAAGTCCACACAGCCAATGACAGCAACCACAATCACAAGTACAAATTGGTCACAATATAAAAAGAACAATCCTCATCAAAAGTTATAAGTAAAGTGAGGCACTCAATCAACACTGGATCTTGACCGCATCTCCTCCGATCTTGATAGTGATCTTGGTTCCGGTTGATGTCCAGGTGGGAGACTTAATGCTGATGTTTAGATTGGGATAGGTACCGGTAGATGTCGTTACTGAGGGGACCGGTCGGGATCTTGTCAGTTCCCCAGGGATCCCTTACTATTCCTCCAGATTGTGGGGGACATAACGCTCGGGCGGTTGGGATAACTGGACTACTGCTATTCTCGCTGCTAGGTGTTAATGGTTAAGGCCAAGGCCTACAAAACAGTTGATGTCGCCTGTAGGCCTCTTGCGCGGGCAATGATGGCGGCGCCTTTGTACCCGCGCGGGGGTTGTACTGTATTTCTGACATTTTAGAACATGTTGGAAATATATCCAGCAGAGTTTAAACAAACAAATTTGCTGCTGAGAAGTGCAGTGAACCGAAGTATATATCACGAAATCGCGTTCGATTGCGAAGAGCTTGCAGTTTTAGATGTTCAGCTCAGTGAAACGAGGGAGAATTAACCTCATATCGAATTACGATCAACGTACCCCCTGTAATGACGTTTTGTAGCCAAGTCATAGCATGTCCAGTTAAGTTTTTCTCGTTTCATTTCTCTATTCTTGGTGTCGAATTTGTGTGAAGGGCTTACTTTTGAATGAAGCATTGGTTAGGTCTCCAGTAAACGCGTCAGAGACGTTAGCCATCCGTGTCAAAAATGTCGCGATTTCGTGATGAAGGTCCAGCGTTGGACTTGAATAGTCCGAACTTCTCGCCGGCCGAATATGTAAAGCAACTCCAGAAAGCAAGTATAGCTTGAGCCGGATTCATTTAATGTTGAAACTAATGCTTCGGCGCAATTTCAGGAGCTCAGCTTGCATCAGGTGATGGACAGGGAAAAAGAAGTATTCAAAGGGATACAAGCGCTTGACTCGGAGATGCAAACACTCGTTTATGAAAAGTATAATAAGTTCATTGTAGCAAGCGACACGATCTGCAAGGTATTTTTCCGTTAGTGTCTGATGAGTTGCTTATTAATTATATTTGCTCTGCATCACCACGAAGATTTCAAGCAAATGGAATCGGAAATGAAAAGATTGTCGAGCAAAATGGGAGAAATCACGTCTGCATCCTCTGCTGTATCTTCTGCTTTGAGGGTAATTGACGGAATTTGTGCTGAAGTCATTCCTTTTCATGTAATTATGTGTAAAATTCTCAATTTCCGGATCGCAGCGCGCAGATTTATAAGCTCTCCGATACCAAAACAATGTTGAAGAAGCTGCAGTTTTTATTTGATCTTCCCAAGGAGTTATCTGCACGTGTTTCTGCCGGAGAATACGGAGAAGTTCGTTAATATCCTCTTTCATTTTGTCTTCCTTATGCAGTATTTCTTAATTCATGAATTTTTGTCACAGGCAATCGAGTGATACTTGAAGGCAAAACCAATCCTAGATGCGCACAGCTCTCTAGATAGCTTCAGCGGTATTTGTGCTGATGCAAATGCTACTGTCAAAGACTTGGAAGTACACCTAGTTAGTACGTGCATGGACGAGAAGGTGAGTTTCTAATTGTTCTAAATCTGCAGCTTATGATCGAACGTGCAACCGGAATCTCTTAGGCTACTCCTGTAGACCTGAAGAAGCTATGCTCGCAATTGATCAAACTTGAGCAAGATCCTGTGCAAGTAGCGGACTTGTTTTTGGATGCTGCCAAAGCTGGCCAACTGTCTATTTCTATGTCTGAACTTGAAGCTCAGTTGACCGAAGCCGAAAAGTGCAACAATGCAGAAGACTTCGATGCCTCTATAATCCATTCCTGCCCAACGAGGATTCTGACTTCCTCAATTTCAACCATTTGTGGAACTGGCGTGTACAAGTTTCCTGAGTGAAGTTTGCGTAAATGTTGCGTCATTCAATGATGTTTTCATAGATCCCTACAGACATCAAGGGTAAGATTGAACAAATTGATAATCAAATGTGAGGTGCCGGACGTTGTTTGAATATTTTTTGGTCCTCTTTCTCTTAAACACTTCATGAATGCACTTCGAGCATGGTTTCAGAACTATCCTTGCGATCAAACTAAGGAAAGCTTGATTTATGCGTTGAAAATTGTTAGAAAATGGCATCTTGGACATTATATTGCTTTTTTGAATATAATTTAGGAGATGAACAATAAATTTGAAGCTGCTTATTTTTCAGAGATGTGAGTTCACGTACAGTATGAATACTAATAAAAAAAAAAGTCCGCAAAACTTTTTCTGTGTGGGAGTTACGTGCTTAAATACTTCATGCTACTAACGCAAAATGTGATTCATCTCATTTATTGTGGAAATACCGACCTCTAGTAAAAGCCGCGTTTTTTTTTTAATGCCGTGATCCTGAGAAAATGGATTAAGTACGGTACTAAGATGTGAAATCCGAACTAATTGAAACTGATCTGATTGTACAGATAATATGACGTGTATGACGAAGCTTGAAGACGGTAGCTTGAGAAATGAAGATCCCAGATATAATTTTTCTCATGTTTTGATGAATTGTTTTCAGACCGAATCAAATCGCTTGCGAAAAGCTCAAGATACTCGTTGATGCCTTGATGAAGAGATATTTACTCTGTGTGGAGAAAAGGGCTGCGATTGAGGCTTGCCGTGATCCAAAAGGCTCTTGTGATATCCTGGTTGAAGGGTTGGATAGGTTCCACAGGCGCTTACAAGGTCTGAGCCAGCTTGTGCCTGGAACTGACTTTGGACGGTGAGTCAGTCGCATTGTAACTTGTATTTTCGGCGATGATATTCGCAACATTCTCNGCCGTTGTTTCTAGAATCAATTGACTATTTCGAAGCTGAAAATTATTCCAGCTTGGAGACCTGTAATGATAGTTGACGTCCACTGCAGTCTTGAAATCTGGTCCAGAGTGATTTTGTAAGTTATGCGTCAATGCCAAATTGTTGCTGGTGTTGTGGCCCTTGAAGAGTTTCCAGCAGGGTTTGTCAACTATTCGAAGTTTTCACTGACCTCAAGATTTGCTTTGTTGATTGATGGTCTGTACCCAGGATTTTTTTCTTTAAATGTGCATCGCATGAAGCAGAACATTTTGCGAAAACCAAACGCGACCTTAGTGGATTGACTGTATTTTTTGCGTCTAAATTAAAAATTTTGGAATGCTGAGGTATATAACTTGTTGGGCACGTTTTTATTCAGTATTTTTGAAATTTTCATGTTTTTCTCAATTATTCAGCCTAATTTCATACAGAATATTTTAGATATTTCAAGAATTCTATCTCAGAAGCATTCTGGGTGCATGAAAAACATGCAATGATCAGCAGAGGGCAGTACATTACTAGCAGTTTAATGCTGCAAACTGCAGACTAATGCTGCATGCAAAATGCTTCATTCTTGTTCAGAAACTTCTAGAAAACCCTCTTGCCTCTTTTTTTTTTGTACACCTTTTTATTCTACTTTTGCCTTTGGAACCAGAGTTTCTATAATGATTACTTCTCCAGGGGCAATGAGTTAATTCAATGTCCTTAAATGTAGGAGGTGTATCAAGTGAAGAGGGGTTGCACCTCTCAGAGATTCAACCCTCCTCTGTATTCCTCAACTCACAACAAATTTTCTTCAACATATAACCCACAAAACAGACTACTGTCTTTAATCCAATGAGGTGTTTGAAATAGAAAAAAGTAGCATCTCACCCCATGGAAGAGAGATGCCAAGTTTTTCCACTTGTCTCTCAACTCTTTGAGAAGCTTCCTGGTTTGTTAGGCAAGATGCATCCAACACTGCACTGTTTTACACTTTCTTACAGAAAAGTTTCACTGTATTCCTCAACTCACAACAAATTTTCTTCAACATATAACCCACAAAACAGACTACTGTCTTTAATCCAATGAGGTGTTTGAAATAGAAAAAAGTAGCATCTCACCCCATGGAAGAGAGATGCCAAGTTTTTCCACTTCTCTCAACTCTTTGAGAAGCTTCCTGATGTACTAGGCAAGATGCTTCAACTCACCACTGTTTTACCCTTTCTTAGAGAAAAGCTTTAAAATATATTTTACATTTCCCCTTGTTTAACCTGCATTACATGCATCATGTCTCTTAGTTTCAACCATGAGCAGTCCACATTCATGTATCATAACCCTCTGCAATTTCTCAATTTAAATCTTGGCGTATATGCCCAGTGTTCCCAAACTTTTAAACATTGTTCAAATCTACATGTAACACTTCCAAATGTTCTTGTTGAGGTCCATTATCTTTCCTTTTCACCGTCCCCCTAAAACTGAAGCATATCAACAAATTGTTTGCTTTTTTACTCATGTTCCCCCTTGTCCTGAATCCTATTGAACCCACAAAAATGTGTCTTCTCCACCAAAAAACCTCAACAATCAAAATGAATTTACTTGTTATTTTTTGGATCACTTGCTTGCACATGTTCATACCCTCGTGTTCTCCACAATCCAAATCCTACAAATTACTTCATGGTCACAATGTTTTGATTTTAACTGATGTTTTTCTGAAACTGCAGACTAATGCTGCACACGAAATGCTTGATTTTTGGTCAGAAACGTATGGAAAATACCCTTGCTTTTTCTTTCTAGTACCCCTTTTTTATTTTAACATTTGCCTTCAAAACCAGAGCTCCCAGAATGATTACTTTTACAGAGGCAATGAGTGAATTTGATGTCCTTCTACGCAGGAGGTGTATCAAATGAAGAGGGGTTGCACCTCTTCAAAGATTCAACCCTCCTTCATATTTCTCTACTAACAAAACAAATTTTCTTCTGAATTGAGCCCAGAAAACAAACTGTTCATTCCAATGAGGTGTTTCAAATAGAAAAAAGTGGCATCTCACCCCATGGTAGAGAGATGCCACATTTTTTCACTTCTCTCAACTCATTGAGAAGCTTCCTGATGTACTGAATCCTATTGAATCCCCAAAGAATGTTTCTTTTCAACCAAAAAAAACTCTACAATCAAAATAAATTTACTCGTTGACTTTTGGATCATCTGCTCCCACATGTTAACACCTATGTGTCCTCTACATTTCATCTCCAACAAATTCCTTCACAGCTCCACTGTTTCTATCTCAATTAATGTTCCTCTCAAACTGCAGACTAATGCTGCATACAAAATGCTTCATTTTTGTTCAGAAACCTCAAGAAAACCCCCTTGCATCATTTTTGTACACATTTTTAATTTTACTTTTGCCTTTGATACCAGAGATTCCATAATGATTACTTTTACAGTAGGTGCAATGGGTAAATTTAATGTCCTTGTATGTAGGAGGTGTATCAAATGAAGGGGGGCTGCACCTCTTCAATGGTTCAACCCTCCTTCTTTTCCTCAACTCACAACAAATTTTCTTCTACATTTAGCCCACAAAACAGACTACTGTCTTTATTCCAAAGAGGTGCTTGAAATAGAAAAAAGTAGCACCTCACCCCATGGAAGAGAGATGCCACATTTTTCCACTTGTCTCTCAACTCATTGAGAAGCCTCCTGGTTTGTTAGGCAAGATGCATCCAACACTGCACTGTTTTAAACTTTCTTACAGAAAAGTTTCACTCACCCCATGGAAGAGAGATGCCACATTTTTCCACTTGTCTCTCAACTCATTGAGAAGCCTCCTGGTTTGTTAGGCAAGATGCATCCAACACTGCACTGTTTTACACTTTCTTACAGAAAAGTTTCAAAGTATATTTTACATTTCAGCTTGGTAAACATTACATGCTTGACGGCACTTAGTTTGAACCACAAGTGGTCTATATTTATGTATCAAACCCCTATGCAATTCAACAATTGAAATCTTGGAGTGTGGGCCTGGTGGTTTGAAACATTTACACACTTTTCAAATATACATGTACCACTCATAAATGTTCTTGTTGAGGTCCAATATCTTTAATTTTCATCTTCCATTGAGAAGCCTCCTGACTTATTGGGCAAGATGCCTTCAACTCCACAAATTTTAAATGTGGACTTCTACAACACAACATGAAGTGTGTGATGAGATCCTTCCTCAACCAGCCTATGGAGTGGAATGAATTCCCACCCCAGAGTAAGGAAGAATTGCATGTTTCCTCTTTTAGCAAACAGTTTGTAAACCCCAGCTAGGAAAAGAGGCATTCTTGCCCAAGGATACTGAACAAATCCCTGTCAAGGACTGAAGGTCTACTTATAAGAAATGCCCAAATTGCAAGGCATCTTGCACACATCATGAAAAGAGGGAGCCTAAACCTAGGAGATTATGGCAAAGTTCTACAGAGTTCACTCATCAAAAGGAAAAAGTTTTTGCTGCAAAAGGTTACACTGTACATGTATGATCCTCCCAGGCACGTAGAAACAAAATTGTATACCCCTATATACATGATAACATATACTGAGAACTTGCTGGTGAAGATCCTTGAATGTAACTTGTAAGGAATCTTCTTGAGTAGCCCAGATCCCCAGGTATCCCTCCTTGCCCCAATTTATTCACCCATTTGAAATCTCTGACAGATACTTTTTTCATTTATAACAATATAGTTAGGGTAGAGGACTAGTGAAGGTTAATCAATCTCTTATATAGTAGTCAGAAAACAGACTATGATCTACAAATATATGTGTATCTAATCCCCTAGACCAATTGTTATCATTATTGGGGGCTCGTCCAAATTGGACTGTTATCCCTCTCACCGTTACATGAGCTACAAACTGCTCACACTCAACATACTCCAAAACATTGCTTGTTGCTACAACATCACACCCACTGGCCGAAAAAAGGACCTCATTGCCCGTCTTTGCGCCTTTGACATGACTGATCCAGATGCATCTACTTCCTCCTCCACCTTGCCAGCTACAATTACACCCTCCGGCACATCAAGGGAACCGCCAACTGCGCTGCTGATGCCCTCAGTTGGGCCATAGTACCCTTGGAGAATGCTGGCTCTTCCACCACCCTAGCCTCCTTGGATGGGTCTGCCGCCTTACCAGTCCCGCCAAACCACGACCATGCTGCTTCTTCCTTGCAGCTCTGTGCTGTCCAGAACACCCGCAAAACCATCCTCAATTGCCACCAGCAAAGCTGCCTTATAAATCAGTGCCATCACCAACTGGGTCATGCAGGCTGGAAACCTGTATTCTACACCCTCCGTCACCGTTTTTTCTGGCTTCAGATGCGGCAAGCAGTTTTTCAACAGTTGCGCTTCTGCAAGCCATGCATCTGG